GAAAGAGCTCTGCCATCCCAGTGACTTGCACCTCAGGGACACATCTCTCCTAACTTTAGATGTCCACTTTGATGGTGAGGTGAATCACACGCTAGAAGTGTCTGTTTCTCCCCAGGGGCTACAGAAAGTCCATCTCCACCGAGCCACCAGCTGGGCTGGAGCAACCTGCATCACAGGGATGAGGTGAGATGAACTGACCCCTTGTAAGCACCCTTTAACTCCTGACCTGCTGTTGAGACAGACGAGTCAAAGCTTTCAGAAACACAGTCAAGAGAATAAGGAAAATTCTGAAACTGAGTTTTTTTGTTATGGCTGTCTCTGGACAGCATACCACTATGTCCGTGATGCACAATGCCAGGCACTGGAGCAGGCCATGTTCCCCGTGTTGGTCTCACCAGTCAGCACATTGTGTCACCCGGGCTTCCCTGCCCTGCTTTCCTGCCTATGAGTCTGTATCTTTAAGCATTCATTTGCCGAGGACTGTAAGTCCTTCTGTCCTTCTTTCCTTTGCCTTCTTCCCTCCTCCTAGGCCCACTGTGCCTGCCAGAGGCCCAGAGCCAGGGTAACATGGCTCTTCCTTTGGCTCAGCTATATCAAAGTGCCAATTTTTCTGACCTATTGACCAAGATACAACCTGTCATAGCTCAGCTCTCTGCATTCCCAGCCCACTGTCCACAAAAGATTAAATAGGTTGCAGTTCCTTTGTTACCTGATCGGGTATTTGCCTTCTTTTTAAAGACTTTTATGGTTGCTCCATTTGAAATCTGAAAGCAAAACCAAACATATCATGCCGAAACAGAAGTGTCTAGAATTCATGAAACCCTCAGTTTCATTTCCTCTGTCCTTAAGCCCGTGGCAGAGCAGAAGCGTGCCAGCCTGCTTCGTTCTCACCATGGTGTGCACGGCGCTCAGCAGGCAGCCAGGGCTGGGCTTTCAGGCACGGGCAGCAGCTGCAGTTTGTTAGCCTTACCTGGCAAGGTGAGAAGGCAGCTCTTCCAACAAACCGGCCTTTCCCTTTCTTTGATTTTTCTGGTTCAGACCCTATTTGGACATTTTTTGTTTTCATGTACTGCTTTGTGCTGCTTCTTGCACCCATCTTTCTACAGATAGCCAGACAATTCAACCTGGGCACCAGTGCAATAGGATCTTACAGGACAGTGAGGGAGGGAGGGGAACACAAGGATGATTTCTCTTCTGGCCCCCTTTCTTCCAGCTCAGTCCATTCCCCCCATGCCCTATGGAGGGGCCATGGTGAGGGTCTAGCCTGGTGCTCCCAAGAACTATTTTCAAACCAAGCAAAATATTTATGCCCCGTGAACCGTAAGGTCAAGATCCATATTAGCTACCTTGGGATTTCTAGGAAAAATCTTCCCCCCTCCTTCCCTGAAATTATAGTGCTGCCAGGATGGTAACTATTATCTTTAAAAGAAACTGGCAAGTCATGCTTTTATTGTCAAAGAGTAACTCAAAAATGGTTCCCACTGAGAACTACACCACTGCTCTGCTGTCAAATGTTGGGTCTTGCCAAGAGCTAGTGTACTTCACTCTATAATTACAAAAACAACTGGCCAGTTCTAGGAAGGGATCTCTGCCAAAATAATTTAAGTGTTTTTTAAACCTTGGCAGCTGGCCTGGTGTGAGAAACCAGTTTAAACATTAAGATACTCTATCAAAAGCTGTGTCTTGGGCCAAAGAAATCTGCACTTACACTTGCTCCTGGAAAGTAAATGCAATCTATTTTATAAGTATGATTTTTTGCAGGGTTTCCATTTATCATACAGTGTTTCAGAGCTCTTTCAGATAACACAGAGCACTTTAAAACCACACTACAAGCGGGAATATGCTCTAAGGCTAGCTTGTGAGGTGACACAAACACCCAGAGAGGAGTCCTACTTGGCCCTGAAGATAGGCAAACAGGAACGGGGCTACCCAGCAGCTTACCCCCTCCCAGAGCGGCGTGGGCAATACGCCGCCTCCACTCCCTCTCCAAGAAGCAGGAGAGCAGCTCAGTGCTGAAATGTGTTGGTTCCTGTCCTGAGGGAGACGGCAGGGCTTGGAGGGAGAACCGTGCTTCCCTCCAGGAACCAGAGGCATTGGTGCAGTGCAGCCATGATCCAAACCTCCGCTTCAGGTTTTATTTCTGGGATAAATGACGCTTTTAGCATTGACTGGAATATGCTTTCCCTTCTTTATCACTACTGCAGCAGCCATACTTGCTGTTTCTTTCAGCGTGATCCAATAAAAAAAAAAAAAAAAGCCCTTCTTCTTGTGTCCTGCTGCCTAAACCACGTTTCGTGGTGGGCTGCTCCCATGGGCACCTCAAAACATCTTTACTTTGTCAGGTGCGTTACTGAAGGGGACAAACAGGAAAAGGGGAGATCTGTTCAGACCCACACAACATGGAGTAGAGCTACTTTGCAAAATAGAGGATGTAGTAGTGTGGCTCTACGCCTCTTCCTTGTTCTCCCGGCCTTCTGTCCTCCCTATAATCCAGTTCTTGTCAGTGAGCTCCCTCGATCACACGTTCAGATTCACTCTCTGGGGCTGGGCCTGCTCCTGGAACATGTGGTGCTGCTACAGGTTGAGAAATTGGAGATCTGCGACTGGACAGCAGATCTGAAAGTGGTTCTCTAGCTCTCTTCTTGTGTGGGAAATAGGACATCATGATAATCAGCAACTTTCTAGTCAAGGCTTGTGGTTATTCTCATGCAAACAATAGTGCAGACCTCATAAATAATCACATCAATAACCCTACTAGGAGCAAAAAATTAGAGCAAAAGGAGCACACAAGTCAGAGATGCATGAAAGTCTAATAAGAGTACAGGGGATTTTTTTTCCCTTCAGAAACACACACAAAAATGCAAACATCCCCTACTTGCGCCTTTTAAAAATCAGTGTAGAAACTAAGTCTGCTTTTTCAAGAGTGACTGGTGATTCTGGGACCTTCACAACACAACCCCCATGCTCCAGTATCTTAAAAAGATTTGACAGTACTTCCCAGTTTCAAAAATCTGGTTACTTTCTAGCATTTAAGGCTGGCAAACAAAAAGAAAAATTCAGGCTTGCCACAAAACTCTAGGCACTGTTGAAATGTAAGTTGGAATTCCTCAGGCAACCCCTCACACTGTGTATGCAGTGTTCCTTTTTCTTGCTAACTAGACACCTTTACATTCCTTTTTGCATTAATATGCATACAAGAAAATAAACTAGATATACTAATAGCTGATACTTGCCACTAAGCCTCTGCCTGAAACACCACTAATCTTCTGCCTAAAATGTACGTTATTTTGTCAGTGTCAGAAGAAGTGAACTAAAATATCTAGCAGAGATACCCAGCACAATTTCCATAAGGCAGCTGCTAAGCTATAATTAGTGTAGTTACAGCTTTGCAAAAACAACTGAACCTCCAACCTTACTTGCATTTGCCTGCGGAAACCTCAGACAAAAACAAGGGCTGGGACAAAGATACCCAGGGATGACAGTGGCCAACTGGAGCAGCCTCATTTGCCATGAGGTATGGCACCCATGAGCCATGGGCATGCCATGAGCTCAGGAAGAGCAAAAAGCTGCCAGGTACAATCAGGGAGCGCTTGCAATAGCTGCCTGTGGTAAAGAGGGTGGGTACAATCACATTAGCCAGAAGTTCAAGTCTCTAGTCAGATTCAAATCTACTTTGACCTTTGCTGCACAGACTCTGACTGCAACACTATCATGTCCTAATTTGTACAAAATCTTTACAAGTGGAGTGGATGAAGTCCCATGTTAATCTATAGACAAGATTCAAGAGAGGCACAGGAAAAGCTGTATTTAAGACACTGGATGGTGACTCAGGACATCGGGGTTCGCTGCTGCCCCCGCAGGAGGTAAGGAGACTAACAAATGCCTACAGCAATCTGTAAAGTGACTCCAAATGAGCTTGCTCCAGATCCAAGCAGCCTTGTGCTCCACCCAAGCTACGAACAGTCCTGCTAGGACTACTTGTTCCTCTCTGTGGATGGCACTGTATTTGCTCATGAAGACAGCAACGTGCTCAGGGCTGGCTCAGGTTTCTCTGCACCATACTGCCTTGCATGACACAGACTTAAAGCAAAACTTCTTCATAAATAAAAATTGATTATCGTGTTAAGAGCCAGACTTTCAAAATCAACAACGAGGCATGAAGAAAGCTCACTAAAACCACTCAGAATACCAACCTCATTTCCAAAATCTATCTCTAAGCATCAAAACATGAGCTACCATATCACCTGAGGCAAATCATCTGCTGCACATTTTACCCCAGCCTCTCACCCTCTATTTTGACTAGTGGCAGTGGAAACTCCTTAGACAGGCAATGCCGCTCGCTATGTTTTCGCAATGTGCTACACCCACAAGGGCTCTGCCACCAGCTGCAGCCTTGTGTGTTGTTGCAATGGTGGGCAGATTATTGCAGCATTGAAAATGACCGGTTTACAGATGCAATGGGAAATGGAGAGGAAAACTTACGGTACAAGTGGCAACAGTAGATGGAAGCAGAAACAGAGAGAAAAAGGGAAGGAGACTGACACAGGAGGTCTCAAGAGAAGAGTGAGTAAACTCATCAGTCCTTTTTATTCTGACTCTCAATGAGCTTTCACAAGTATCACTACTGCCTGTTCAGATAATCAAAATATGAGGTGGGAAGAGGTAAAAAACTGCTCATGGTGCAACAAAAACTCAGCAGCAGAGACTAGAAAAGACTCAAGGCAATGTTCATAGCTGGAAATCAGATGCTGCTTTAACTGAAATGCTCAACAGAAGTAACAGTTTACCTGGCTTGAACCAAACAACCCCAAAACAAGCAACCTCTGAAAAGTAACAGAAAACATATGACTCATTGGCAAGAAAGTTGTGTGTCACACATTTCCTTCTGTTAATGATGCTCAGCTACCTCTTCAAGATTTTGATCAATCAAGATACTTCGGTGCAGACAGCATTTGGTAGTTGGGGTGAAACTGCTTCTTGATTCATTGGTATGGCTTCCATGCTTACCTCATAATGACCGATGGTATTTAGCTTCCTTATCCCATCCTCCATCACCTCTGAGGAACCATCAATATCTAACAATTCTCTTTGGTGCTCCTCAGACACAAGCTCTGCAGTATGACAGCAACAGAAAACAATTACATCCCAATGGCATTCTCACTGTACAGATGTTTGTAAAGAAAAACAACACCTAATTATTTTTGTACCAGTGGCTCCCAACTGAGCTGTTTCTCTCTGTCCTTGTACTAGGTCATGAGAGTGGTTTTGCACTCCCACACTACAGATTCCTTTTCTGGGGTGACAGCCTGGGTGGCTTCCATTACTGCAGGCTACTGGTGCTTCACTTTGTGTTGGTAAAGGCAGCGGTTTTGGAGGTGCTTTCACCTACCCTAGCTATTCTGTTGCACAAGCATGCCCTGGTGTTATGGCCACATTGGGACTAGAAGAAAGGTTTCACAAGCCACTTCTAAGAGACCACGAAAATGAGCTGTACAAGACTGACATAGTATTTGTGAAGGGTGGTCAGGCACTGGTGGTGGATATAAACGTCAGATATGAAAGCAAATTATCATCACTTGCCAACACAGCATCTGAGAAGGTGAGGAAATATCAACATCTTAGGGAGCAAGTCCGGGAGGTGACAAATGCCAACAATGTGGAGTCTGTTAGATTTCCTATTGGAGCACGTGGGAAGTGGTATGGTGGCAACTACAGGCTTTTATCTCACCTTGGACTCTTGAAAACCCGACAAGAAAAGGTGGCTCATCTGCTCATCTGGAACGGCCTTATTTACATCTGTAGATATTCTACGTATCTTTGTGAGTCACATGTGAACTATTACATAAACCTAATCTGACTGTAAATAAACTATATTTGTGGGTTCTCCTGACCATGGGAAACACAGGCCTGTTGGAAGGAAGGGTGGTAGGAGAGATAGTACGTAGGTACTAAAGTACTTGGTAATGATGACGTGTCATCTTACCCACTGACAAAATTTATCAACCGCCTGTATTTAGGTGGACGGGCCACCTTACTTAACCCAGAAAAGGAACATATAAATTATACATGTTCACTAAATAACACGTGTTGTCAACTGCATGCTGAAGTCCTTGAAGAAGCGAAGCAGATGTAGTTCCAATGTTCTAACTGGTAGCATAAATGATCTAGTATTTCCCTAGAAATTCCTTACAAAAGCTATGTTCTGCCTAGACGCTAAAAAAAAATCAAAGCCAAAGGTAGGAATTCCTAACAAAACTCCACAGACAGACCAGTGAACTCCATGAAAATACAACACAGTGACACTCTCTTACCAAGACCAATTTCATCCAGCTGAAGACCATAGAGAAAGCCATTCTTATTAAGGAAAGCCTGAAGGCTCTTCTCCTTGGCTTGGCCTATGGTGTCGCAGTCCAGAACATTAACTTGGATAGTTTGACAGGCATCTCCACTCTCATTTTCTGGGATTTTTTCAAAGATAATGTTCACTGTCTGGGGAAAGAAATGCATGTTATTCTGACTTACAGGGAACACCTGGCACGAGAAACCTTTAAACTCCTGACAGCAAACCTGAGAGATTTTCAGCATATTTATTATTAAAGCTATTTCAAATAAAGATTATTTGAAGGAATTACACAATGAAGCATTTAGAATTCCTCATGTCCGAAGAATCAAAGATATATAGCTATGTATTTCCAAAAGTGTATTTTGTATTCTGCTTTTGTACAAATCTATTTCAGTGAATTACCCCAAAAAAAGACAGGAGACCAGGACAAATTACAATGCATGTTCTAAAAAAAGCAGATCTTTTATTTCAAACGAATGCCTTAAAAGCAAAACTGTAAGTGACTAGAGATCTGATAAGGTTGCTAAGTAAGTCATCATGGTAAGCATGCTTGATTTTGAGTGGATAGGAAGCAGTGTTAAAATGCATATTTACACCAGCAGATTATGCTGAGTACCTTGTGTCATACAAAAAAATACACCTCCCCTGGAGACATCAGTGTCTGTCTGCATACAGCCATGTCTCTAGAGGCAGCAGAGACAGGGCTACTGCAGAAGCAGTGGAAAGGGAAAGCATGTCGCAGCAGACAGAAGCCAAAGTGGTCCAGATCTGCACAGAAAAGTGCTATTTATTCCATTAGTTATTACTCCAGGTCAAACACCCACACGACCTGCCCAGTTACAACACCCCTGCCCTTTAGCTCACAGCCACTCTTAGCTGGGACACAACTCATCTGCTGGGCTGCGCACAAGGTGAGTATGGGCTAGAGGGAGGTGCCAGTGAGACTGGGTGACCATCTCCAGGGAATGTTTTTAGTCAGGTCATATTTCTGGTCAGGTCACGCAGATCAACTGCTTCCAAAAGGCAGGGAAAAGGAATGAGCACAGGGTTGCTAATGCCGAGTGATAACAGCACTCATTTCCAGTGCTGTAGCCTGCTCCTTGCAGAGACATCACTGTTCAGCTACATGGATACAGACATTCTGCTGCAGATGTCTTGGGACAGAATTAAAACAAGTGTTTTAGGTGCCAGCACTTGAATGCAAGTGGCACAGGGAAATCTACGTACTCGAACCATTCTGGCTGTTGGACATTTCTGGTGTCATACATATCTTTTGACTGAAATGCGAGCACTGCAGGTGTGACTCAGTGAAGGAGTGATCGTTAAAAGAGGAAGCAACTAAAAAATTTTTTTTCTCCTGCTGTCATGTGAAGGAAAGAACTTCTGTCCAGGTTGCTGCAGGGACAACTTTTCTCTCTTCTTAGAAAAATGAGTAGTTATTAATAGCTGTAGAATGCTATTTTCTGCTTTATTACCCAGCAAGAGTGGAAATTACGACACACTGGTGGTGAAAAAAAGTAGTCCAATGAGACATAAATTAACTTTACTGTTTCTACAGAAGCAAAAGGAGTATTAAAAACAGAGTTGCAAAACTATGAAGATCAGGATTTAACAAAGACTAGGATGTAACTGAAGTAACTGAGAATAACTTAATCAGGACACTGAGATGTTTAATTGTGAGGAAAATGAGTCCATGGAAAGGACAGACGGAATGGAAGAGGAGGATATGTGGGAATGGTGCCTGCAGAAGGAGAAGCAGACTGGATGCCATGCCTCAGGTTGGGATTTCATGCAGAAAATTAGTAAAAAATATATTGGCACAGGAATGAGGGATTCATGCTTGGTTAGGCCCACAGACCAACTGAACAGACAGCAGTCCTGCCCTTGACTTTGATTGCCCTGAGGTCATGGTCTTGTAGGATAAAAATGTGCACAGGGACTAACTGTATTTTGATTTTGGAAAACTCATTTTAATCCAAGTTTTTGTCTCTTCTAGTCTCCGAACTGATCTTTCTGGAGTAGCTACTCACACTTTAACTGATGTTGATTTGTCTTTACATCCTTGGAAGCATTCCTTCCTTTAGTTGATCCTTTCCTCCTAACATTATTCTTACACTGCAATATTCATGTTCCTGCTTCTCCTTCATTTCCTCTTCCCTCCAGACTGTCAAGAGAAACTGTCTTTTTCGCTGCTGCATTTCCTTTTCAGCACATGCTCTCACACAGATTGCACGTAAATGTGCAGCCTCTTCAGTTATTAGCATGCGAGAGTCCTCCCATCCCCACTCAACTCATTGTAGGATGACAGGACTGTAAAAAGAGAGAAGTAGTCCTTTATGTAGGTGGAATACAAGTCATTTATGGACTCCTTAATCGAAAGTATCCACAATGTGAGGATAACAAAAACACTTTACGACTCAAAGAAGTGGTCAGATGGGAAGAAACATTTAAACACATAAAAGTCTCTAAACCAAGAGAGCCGGACAGTTTTGCTGATATGATTTCCTGCAGAAGTTAATCTTAAGTGATGAAGCAATTGATGGGGAGCTAGGAAAGCCAATTATTATTATGTCTTCCTTCTGTAGCCAAAGTTTTAATAAATCAGATTCAACCTGTCTGACAGCACAATCCCTGGCTTTAGAAACCATTAATCAGAAGCTGACAGTCACCATCACTGCATTTAGACACAAAGTGTAGAACTGGAAAAAGAATCAGAAACGACTGTAAAATTATGAAAGCCTTTTAATGATCAGCTCTGAAGGTCAGAAAACATTTAAGAGAAATCACAGGAGGACACATGGAAGTCACAAGGAAGCATCGTCAGGCCCTTTTCTAAGCTCTCTCACTTTGCAAAGGAAACAAAAATACAAGTTA